GCTATGAAAGTAACTAAAATACACTAACCTAGCTGTCTCAACATCTGTGAGACTTCTAATCTTTATTACAGCATATGCTGCAGAACTAAGTCTGCTTGCTAATTTAGATATATGGGGGCCCCATTGAAGTTTCGCGTCAATAGTAATACCGAGAAAAACAGTGGTATCCACAAGACTCAACTCCTCCCCATTTAAGAGCACATTGGTTTTCGAATGTTTTACATTAGGTATTGTAAATTTAATACATTTTGTCTTATTGCCGTTTAAGAGCAAATTGTTGGCGTTAAACCAATGTACTAGTTTCGATAGAGCATTATTTACATCGTCATATTTAATTGACTGCCGTTTCAGTTTGAAAATTAAAGAGGTATCGTCAGCAAATAATACTATATCGTGATTGTCCCCTACAAGATAAGGTAAGTCATTAATATAGATTAAGAACAGGAATGGGCCAAGAATCGAGCCCTGAGGAACGCCCATTGATACTACCGATCCGGAGGAACATTTACCATTAATGACGACTTTTTGAGTTCTGTTACTTAAATATGAAGTAATAAGTTTAAGCGCCAAATTTTTTACACCGTAATGTTGTAGTTTCCTGATTAATGTATCATGATGAACACAATCGAAAGCCTTGGAAAGGTCACAGAAAATACCTAAGGCATCTTGTGAATTCTCCCAGGCATTAAAAATATATTTCATAAGCTCAACACCGGCGTCAGACGTCGAGCGACCCCTTGTAAAACCAAATTGATTTTTATGAAGTAATTTATTTGTATTAAAAAAAATTAACAATTGATCCAAAATTATTTTTTCAAAAATTTTACTGAGAGTTGGTAGTACAGAAATAGGTCTATAATTAGCGGGGTCCAATGTACTACCAGATTTAAATAAAGGTATTACTTTACTATACTTCATTAAATCAGGAAACACACCAGAATCGATACAAGTATTAAAAATAATAGCAAGATGAGGTGCAATTAAATCTATTATGGACGCAATCACTGTAACGGAAATCCCCCACAAATCTGCGGTTTTCTTTACATCAATGGTTTTGAAGTATTTTACAATATTATGCGGTAATACTTTTTCAAATCTAAATTCTTTTAAACAGGTATTAACATTCTGTTTAAGTAATGATTCGGCGACAGTTGGAGAAGCCTTCAATGACTCTGTTGTCAAGATAGGAACATCAGTGAAATATTTCTCAAACACCGCTGCAACTTCTTGATTTGATTTAGTCAATTCATTATTAATTTTTAATTGATAGTTTGAATTACGAGGTTTCTCTTTACCGGTTTCGCTGTTAATTATACTCCACGCCATTTTAATTTTATTCTTAGCTGTCTTAATTTTGTTACTAATATGTAATGATTTGGCTGTGGAGCAAACTCTTTTAAACATTTTAGAATAATTTTTTACATATTCTTTAAAAGCATCGGAAAGATTATACGATCTTTCATGGTAAAGGTCATATAACCTTCGTCTGCTTTTATGAATTCCTCCTGTCGCCCACTCATTAAATGCCTTGCGACTGTTTCTGGAGAATGTTTTAGAAGTGAATGTTTTATTAAATTCATTGTTTATAAAGGTAAATAATTCTCTATATAAATAGTCTGCATTGTTCTTATACGAAAGGGATGGAAGGATTTTTAACATATTACTTCTAAATCTCTCCAGGCGTTTTGCATTAATAGGAACAAACACAATTTTCTCATTTACCTGTTTTTTGTGCATATAAGGTAACGAAACCAGTTGTCCACAGTGATCTGAACTAAGTTTTTGAATTATTGATTTGTTGATTGGTACAACACCTGTAAAAATATTATCAATACAAGTTGCACTACACCCTGCAATACGTGTAGCTTCAAAAAATAAATTATTAAGATTATAGGATTTGAACAAAGAACAGAATTTAATACTGATGGAAGAAGTTTCCAGGAGATTGATATTAAAGTCTCCACACACTACAAGAGATTTATTCTGTTTATTAAGCTTAACTAAAACTTCTTCCATAATTTTTTCAAAAGTATCATAACTTGAACATGGGGCTCTGTAAACACTGACAACAATAAGGTGCTCAAGCTCAACACATGCCATTTCTACAGTACGCTCAACAGAGAGGCTCACAATGTCTTTACGTTCTTTACATGATAAGGACTTATTAGCTAATATTAAGGAGCCACCACGTAATTTAGTATCTCTATTGAACGAACTGACCACCTGGTGATTACTGAAATTAAATATGGAGTTGTATTCTTTCAACCAATGTTCTGTAATACATAAAATATTTATACTGTTACTATTTAAAAATAATTCAATTTCTAATTCTTTGCCTAACATACCTTGTATATTTTGATGCACCAGGTTGATACAGTCTTTATTATTGTTATTTTGTAAAATTGCATAATTATGTATTGGTAAGTTGCATTCTAAGCTATTTAAATTATCTTTGCTAGAGATTACCTCTATTGTCTTATTATCTAATTTAAATTACTTGGAACTGGTTCCAAATCAAATGTAAAATTATTTTGTTGCTCAAAAGAAGCAGGTGTCAAGGTAGCCAAATCATTGGCTGAGTTAAAATATAAATAATAAGATAGCGTATCTGCTACCAGTCTTAAACTATACTTTGATAGGTAATACCTATCTCTTGTCAAAAACTTCTTAGTTAAATTATTAATATCAATTAAATGAAATTTATCATTATTATTCTTACAATTAAATGTCAAATTTAAGTTATTGTTACATGTCAAATTATGCATCATTAAATTTAAATTATATCTTTATTTATTTTCCTGTGGCCACCCCTCTATATAAGGCAATGTAAACAAGATAACTTTAACCACATTTATGTTATTGAGATATTCAATATATTTTAATAATTGATTCTTGTTCATATTGCCTCTTCTCCCAACAAAAATTATTAATATACTATTAGGGTTAAATTTACTAGTTAAAATTTTATTCATAATATCACTGAATGATGCTCCAGGCATGCAGTAATTACTTATCTGTTGCCTTTTTAAACAGTTATTCAATGATATACCCAAGTTTTTGCCTATGTCATCACTATACACAATTATATTATTTTTTTCATTATATGAATTACTTTTTAAATTTATCTGCTTTGTTATGGTACTATCATAGAGTGTAGGTAAAGAAAATGAAGTATTACTGCTTGTCATATTATTAACACACACTGTCCCTAAAGAACCTGGCAGTGAGCGCTGATATTCATTTTGATATTTTAATAAGGAGTCAAAACGTTCCTCGTTATATTTGCAGGACTTTACCAGATTATCCATGGCCAGTATGTGTTCTTTTATCTCATTCCCTGCAGATTTATATTTATTTGACATAATTTGTAATGAGGTTTGAAGTGATAAAATTTCTGAATTAAGACACTCTATTTCAGTCTCATAACAATTTTTCATGTTTTCCACCTCAATAGAATATAATTTAATTTTACTAATTAACTCTTGCTTTTCCTTACATACATTTTTATAATTTTTAATATTAATTTTAGTTTTAACTAATTTCTGCACTTTCCTAATATATTAATTAATTTTTATATATTTTTTATAATTCAGTTTCAGTTTCCCTCTGCCGCCTCTTACGAAACACACGACATGGGGTAGTGGATATTCCTATACAGCCACTGCACGATTATGATGGTATTTATGACAATTTTTTCACGTGGTAGAGCCATGCTGCAGCTATATTAGTATTATAACTGTAGCACGAATGGGTCGGCTCGACCGGGGAAGGACCACGCATTCACAGAATACCAGCGTCAAATAGCAGCTTAATGCTGCTGTGTTTCGTATGGTGAGTGTAGAGAACCGGAGACCCTTTTTACTGGGAACGAGGCATTCCATCTTAGTCCTCACGGGTGGCGACGCATCTGCTTTTTGCTTGCTTGCCATCAGGTGGACTGTGTTCACGTTTGTCACACTTATCCTATAAAAAAATTGCCAGAATTAACCATCAATTATAATTTAATTTTGATGGTTACATTTTCTAAGCTATATTTTTACATGATATATCCATATATTTTGAAGTTATTAGGTGGAATTATATAATTTATTCTTTTTAGTTCTTTGTAGACCGCTTTTACTTTTCATTTTAAAAAAATCCGCGTTTTCTAATGTATGGCAGTCTGAGTCTTCTTGCTGCCTCAGGTAGCGAATTTAAGCCCCATGCACGGACAGATTTGAGACATCGTCTAACGCAGTCTAGGTGTCATTACTTACGAACTGTTCTCGTCTATGGGTCGGTGCAATTCAGTGCCAGCTCCTTCCAGTTCCATCCAGCGCAGTGGCTCGAGTCGTCAACGATGAAGTTCTTTTTGGTCGGCTTGACTTACTGGCGCTCCGAAGAGATGTTGCATGCCTTTGGTTATTCGACTCTACCATGGAGAGTGCTCAGATGAATTGTTCGGACTAATTCCAGCCGCTAAATTTCACCATCGCACATCGCGACAGATTCGCGAGTTGTCGCGATGTGCGACTATCCATATCATCTGAACGATTGGCGGTCCACCACTGTGTGCAATTTACTAAAAGTTTTTTTCCTCGCACAACTTCCTTATGGAATTTACTACTACTAGCGATTTCAGGGATCGATGCGACTTAAGGTGATTCAAAAAAAAAAGAGCCTACTCTTTTTTAAACGGCCGGCAACGTACCTGCAATTCCCCTGGTTGCAGTTATTTATGGGCAGGTGTATTTCAGGTGAGCCGCATGCTCGTTTGCTCTTACATAAAAAAGCTTTCATTCCAAACTTTACAGAAATCAGTCAAGTGCTTTTTTTTTCTTGAATACACAAAAATACTAACAATCTGTTGACAATACAACTTGGATAAGTAAGACACCTATATATCTCCTCATCTATCTTCTTAATTTTATTTTCAAAAAAAGAAGTCCCGCTGGGTTTCTCGCGGGTTCTTTCCAGGACAGAGGTTTTTTCCGAACCGGTGGTAAATTAAACAAAACTGTGACTTTCAATACGTATTATTTATAGTCTATATAGAGTAAAACCGTTTCTGTTTCAATTCTTATTTATAACGGTAACAAAAATATCAATTTATAGTAACAAATTACCTTAATTAATACTTTTATAATATAAGCATTTTAGCTATCTTTGTGCATATTTAATTACTTATTTTTAATTTATGTCCACAGAAATCTACAGAAGATGGATGACAATAAATATAGTTTCTAAAATAACTGGAGCCGACTATTCACACGACTGCTGCAGGAACAATTTAGGATATAGACAATCAGGGGTAACTTCGTGAATCGTTTCCTAAGAAATACGGCAGGGGCTCTGGATATTCTTAGATTCTTAATTCAGTCCCTGCCGCTTTGCCACAATGAGGGCATCCACGACTTTTTCTGCCACCAGAGCGGCGCCATTTAAAAGTGAGGTATAATATTTGATAGATTTCATAGCGGAGAAGTTTAATTTGTTCGAAAAATGTAAAGGTTAATGTTTCTTTTTATACTATTAGTTATATTTTATATTATTTCGATTAAAAATAAATAAACCGAACAACAGTTAGGGTGGATGCCCCTATTACCAGCTTTTTAGTTGCAATTTCAACTTTAAAAATTCCTGCTATTTTAATTAGGGCACAATATTTTTAAACATTTGTTTTAATCGATAGGTTATTTATCTAAAACTATAATGAACATTTATTTACAATCATATTATTTCAAGAACAATTTTTAAAACGACGATAAGCAAAAAAAAGGCATTATGGCTCAAATGCCAGCCACCCTGTACCGAATGTCGTCCTTTTGTGTACTTAATGCCAGCATAGCATAGGGTTGTGCCTTTTGAGTTTTTGGAAAGTACCTATTGTAGGTAACTTTTAATATTTGAATCTGCATGTGACAAGCATGGGATACAATTAAGGCAAACGACAACATTATTTTATTTTAATGTTTTACGATAACTTACTGTGTTTTAGTTTAAAGCAGTTCAATAAATTTAAGCAGATTATGATAAAATATTATGTAGTATATCGATTTCTAATAATTTAATCATCCAAGTTTTCAAATCATCATCGTCATTATAACCTTACACAAGTCCACTACGGAACATACTCCTCCATATACTGCCGCAAAGCCTGGTCCTAAACCACTTTACTTGTCATGGGTTTCTCATTTATGTTCTAAGTTGTAATTAGCATTACTAAGTTATAGTTTTTGCTTATCTATACAAATAAATAAAATTGAAGTGTCATTTTGTAATGTCAAAATAACAGCTTTTTACTAAATGCTTATGAAAGTATAATAAGTAAGAACGGTACCTATAACAAAAACACATTTTTTTTAATTTTTGTTTGTCTGTCTGTTTGTTCCGGCTAATCTCCGAAACGGTTGGACCGATTTCGACGGGACTTTCATTGAACGATAGCTGATGTTATAAGGAGTAACTTAGGCTACTTATATTTTAGAAAAAGATTTGGGTTCCGCGCAACATAATTAAAACCCTAAATTACACGCGGGTGAAGTTTCGGGGAACAGCTAGTATATATTTACTATATTTATTGCTTGTTTTTTCTTCTTTCTCAAAAAATAATTAAATACATAAGCTGTCCTTAATATACACCGAATATCAGATAGAAAAGCTAGTACATCTTTTGCTAAACTTTAATATCTAAAACCAATTTTAAAACAGGAATTGATCATAACTCCCTTAACTATAAAATAAGTTACGATCTAATTAATGGTATTTATTCCAGTTTATGACAGCCCTGATTTATATTACGTGGCTGAAATTAGGTACTTCTTATTAGGTACGTCAAACCAAATAACAACCGGGCGGCGGCTGACATTATGCACTCCCATATTTTTCGTATATCTAATTACAGCCCCATTAATTTCCACTAAAAGAAAATAAATAACTTGTAAATTTTAACAAAAATAACTGCATTACTATGTCTATAGCCATATTCATACAATTCAAAAAGCCTATATATGAGATAATGTAAAGTAAGCATAATTTTACCGGGATCATCACTTGTCAAGAAATTAGGTTTTTTTTTTATAGGATAACGGTGACAAACGAGCACACAGTCCATCTGATGGTAAATGGATGCTGTGGCCCATAGACATCTACATTTATCCTTAATTAAGAATCAAAATGCAGATGGGTTGTCACTCCTGAGGACCGAGATGGAATGCCTCGTTTCCAGTAAAACAGGTAACCGGTTCTCTACACTCACCATACGAAACACAGCAGCATTAAGCTGCTATTTTACGCTGGTATTCCGTGAGAGCGTGGTACTACCCCGGTCGAGCCGACCCATTCGTGCTGCAACCACAATATAGCTGCAGCATGGCTCTACTCGTAAAATGAGCGTTTTTCGTCGCGTACGTGTTTTGATTTATAATTTAACACTGTTAGGTTTCAAACTGTGAGGTAATATTTGAAATAAACTTTCCTCTAGTTACGAAGAATTTTTTAGGTGACAATACTTGTAGTTAAGACTAATAGAAATCTTATTTACGAAGTAAAAAGGTGAAAAGGCTGGAATTAGGGGCATGGCTGGTATTAGGGTCATCCACCCTATTCACAAAAGTAGAAAAATTTAAAAAAATTTAAAAATATGAAAAAAATTAAAGAGCAAACCACTGAGGCATTGTTTAGTGTATTAATATAATACTCTAGAAACTGATAAACTTTTATTAAAAAATAACTTCTCAGTTAAATGAATTTGCGTAACAAAAAAATTTACCTCAGTGTCAACTAGTGACATCTGGGGAGCAGAAAATTATTAGCCCTCATTGGCGTTTACAGCGTGATTGTGACAATTTCTCCTATAGTTCGCAGTAGACTGCCGTTCGAAGTAGGCTGTGTATGTGATTTGTGTGGCTCATAAATTAAATAAAAAATTAAATAATTTCCAAATAATAGCTGCTTAAGTATGTACGTGCTAAAACATAGTGTATTGAATTTAAGCCTCGACTTTAGAAGCTATTACGCGAAAATTATTACACGTTTTTTTGTTTTCTTCTCATGTTGCATAATATAACAATATAATAACTTAAAATTATAAAAACTGCAGTTGCAAACCCAGTGCCAGGCGTGGCAACTATGGCAAATATGAGATAATGTATGGTAGATATCTATATTCAGCAGATGACTTTGATAGCCTGTAATGATGATGATTAACCAGTTTTTACCCAGTACCTTGGTTTGTAGTGGTACCACGGAAACTGTCAAGGTTAAGGAGCTTTTTTGACTTTATTATACTGCTATCTTTACCAATTCAAACAACATGTGTGTTACATGAAATCTCACACTAGGCGTGAGTGTAAAAAAGCCTTCTAAATTGTCTCATCCACCCTGCACCATAGATTGTTGCTCTGGCAGGCGTGTGAGTGGCCAGTCTATGCATTAACAAAATATCACAGTATATTTTCATAACAGAGAAACAATTTCAACTTTAAATGGTCAACTATATGGTTGTGCCCAGGATTTTAAACTTTGTGGTAATGTTTCCAAGGGCACTCTCTGAGTCCAGTAATAAAATAAATCAGCACGATAACCTTCCCCATCTCCTCGCAACACAGCATTTAGATATTTCGTGTCTGCAGCTAAATACTTAACTTGTTCATTTTTCGATTTTGTCTTAGCAGATGTATCTAAGCGACACCGCACTATTTTGAGCGATGGATGCACTGCTATAATATGTTCATTATGAGATCCAAGCATCATATCTGTGTCAAATTGTTCTAAAATGGGCAATGAATTCACTAACTCTGTTAGTCCATCAGCTGATGCCCGACAACGCCATAGTTCAAGAACACGTAGTCCTGGTAACTTTTCAATTAATACAGGTATATGTTCATCACTAAACCACGAAGCACTCAACACTAGTTCTTCAATTGTTTGAGGCAGACCGTGTATCAAGGCTGCTAAGGCACGGTTCCTCACCTAGAATTTTAAATGTGATTTAGTAATTTTGTATAAAGATAAGAACAAGTAGTTAGTAAGCTATGATGGGGACTATGCTGGAAGCTTCTACTATAAGGCGGACCATTGCAGTGCAATTGTGTAACTACAATTATTAGGTGGACCCTTTCCTTGTACCATCTAGTAGCGGTGTAAGAATATTCACTACACCATATCGTTCAATGTGTGTGATAAGAAGTGACAGAGGGAAACAACCCAAGAGATAGGCAGCAGCATCTTCCCAATAACAAATATAAGATAAAAAGTGCATTTTGCAAGGATAGCAACAATGGCAACTACCCCCCCTATCAATCAATCAATCTATAGTGGAGCCCTATGTTCATCAGTGGAATTTTAATAGGCTGTAACGATAATGATCTCCTTTTCTGCCTAGGGTACATTACCGATTTCTGCCGTAAAGTAGCAGTTTTTTTTTAATAGTATAAGGGTGACAAACGAGCACACAGTCCACCTGATGGTAAGTGGTTGCTGTGGCCCATAGACATCTACATCTATCCACATTTTCGAATCAAAATGCAGATGCATTGTCACCTGTGAGGACTAGGATGGAATATGCCTCATTTCCAGTAAAAAGGGTCTCCGGTTCTCTACATTCATTGTACGAAACACAGCAGCTTTAAGTTGCTATTTTATGCTGGTATTCTGTGAGAGCGTGGTCCTTCCCCGGTCGAGCCGACCCATTCATGCTACAACTATACCTACTACTAATATAGCTGCAGCATGGCTCTACCATGTAGAAAACTGCTGCACTGCTGTGGTCTAATATGAAGGGTTTAGAGAACCTTTATAATAATTACATACAGTGAGGTATTTCATCTTAGTCTTTGCAGACAATGCATACATAGGCTTCTGTTTGCAGTTGGCTGTGGGTATTTATGGGCTGGAGTAGCTACTACTAGGTGAACTGTAAGTTATTGTTTATCACTTTAAATTTATAAAAGAAAACTGGTAGGGACTTTTTTTTACTGCATTCTGATGCTCGATGTTTGATTACATTATAATTTTATATCATATCTGTATCAAATGTAAACCAATGTTTATATTTATAATATCTTCTTATAATTTACAAAATATTATCATAATTAAACGAACAAGACACAGTTATGGTGTGATTTTGCACTGCTGGTTCCAGTGACATAGAAACTGTCCAACCCATATACTAATTTAATGGCAGTGCAGCCCTGATTCTGGTAAGCATGGTGAAACATTGTGAAACAATATAACCCTGGAAGATACTTTAAGGCAATATCAAGCAGTAGGCCTTTGTTTATTATAGATATGTTAATAAAATAGAAATATATAAAGTAAAATGTCAAATCAGCAAAATGTATGTAACTACTTTGTCCCTATAGTATTTTAGTAAGATCAGAACAAAATCAATTTTTATGTATATAGCAATAATATTACTAAGTAATTTCATAATTCATAAACAACTGCTAATAAAGACACTTTCAACAACTAAATCACAAAATTTCAACACAACATACCATACGCGCTCCAGTTATATGAAGACAACGTAATTGTTTGAGATGTGTTAAGTACATTGCCCCAGTTCTTGTCATTAGCCAGCAAGAATACAACTGCAAAGTCTTAAGATTTGAACAAGAAGAGATCACTTCATAAACTGCATCATTCAGCTCATTGCACCGCAGTGTTAGTTCACAAAGTTGATCAACACTGGCACGCAATAAAAATAATAAATCACGTCGTGGATAGTGCAATGAACGACCATACATATGGAGTGCATGGAGACAAGCTGGAGACGCCAATGTGCGAAAAACTCCTCTTGCTACATTCTCATTAACAACCAGAGATCCAAGACGTTTGGCAACAGGAAGAAAAGATGATCCGAGGAAGCGTGAACGAGCGAACACGTCGAGATGTCGGAGATGAGGTAAGCTTGCCAAAATTCGTAATTCGTTGTCACTAAGAGGCATTTCAGCGTGGATACTAAGCTCTCTCAGACACGGAGCAAGAAGTTCTAAGCTACGAAATAAAACAGCGGGCTCGGGCAAGCGCGCTGCAGCAAGGACTGCTCTTGGACGATGGCGTAATCGTTTAAGGTGTCGTGCATGGCGTAAGGATAACGCACGCCTTCGCGCTACACGAGCCCAGCGTCGACAGACACGTGCGACACCAGCACATACTTCGTGTGCAGGCAACCATTCAAAAATCATAAGAAGTATTTCGTCTGGAAATTTATCCATGATAATTGAATTTTGAATTAGTTTCAAGTTTCGATTGCTAATGTTAAATGCCTCAAATTGAATATTTAATATATTTTTAATAGCACTGTTGAACTCAATACATTTTCATTGATTGAACACATCACAATAAATCTCATAATTATTATTTACATTTATTAATCAGAGTACAGTACATATTATGCCTCGTATGTTTTATTTATATATTTGACATTGACATAAGAAAAAGGTACGGCAAATTGACAGTAGGCTTGGGCTTGGGTAAAAAATATCTATAAATCGAAATATAAAGACATTTTGGGAATATATTCGTTACATCATTACAATTTTAGCGAGATCACTCTTTACAGAATATAATACATTTAGGCAAAATTAAACTACTTTTAAGTTTTTGTTGTCATGTCTGACTCCTTTTAATGTCAAAGAAAATGCCTTATTTATTTTACACTTGATATCAGTATCATACAATGGGTTGAAATCATTAAATATAATTAAATAAGCAAATAACATTAAAAAAGTCACATATTAGAATTTATAATAGGTAAGTATAACCTCTGCGACGCGCTGCCGGGCCGGTAGACACCCGCGCTCAGCTGATTGCGTTGCGAGTGCCTACCATTCACCACTGTGCCTGTTGCACCAAGGCGCCACTTTAAATGACTTCATATTAACTTTTCATATACTTCTTTATTTTGCATAAAACAATTTGATGAACTATTCGATTCTTTTATTAATTTCTTTAAGAATTAATAGACATTCTTTAATGGACATTTTGGTAGTTTGTTACGAATATTGCTTGCTAGCAACGCTGCCTGCATCCAAGTAGCAACGTCGCATCCAGCGGGTAGCAACGCCTCAACGTCGCACATGCGGCAGCCCAAGACCAAGCCAAAGGTATATGACGTCGACACAGGTGTAATCTAAGGCGCCACCTGCCCTTTTCGGTTTATAGCACGCGCAAATTAATTGGTGAGTATTATTAACTATTTTTTTTATTATTTTCAAGTTGTATTTAAAAAATGAATGCAGGTTAAAATAATTACAAATAGTACAATAAAATATTTATAATGATTAAATACAGATATTAACAGTAATTGAACAAAATATTTAGATACAATGATTCAATAAAAATATTAAAATACAAATTTAAAAATTGGAATTAGGTACTCATCCGCGGATAGCGGTGAGTATCGCACACATAGCGTTCAAAATAGTCACCTCCACATTTATGCATAGGTGACACCTAGAACTTAACTGTTCACCGACACGAGATAATAGTTGATAATTTACTTTGATCTGATCAAATGACAAATAAAAATCCATTGCCCGCCACGTCCGATCCAGCGACCAGGGTATTCTCTGTTTAAATAATCCTTAACTTGGCGAGCAAAGTGCGCTGGCGCCCCATCATGTTGGTACTCTAACAATTTTGGCAGCGTGTCGGTGAGAAAACTATGATAGCTTTCACCGTATAATCTTTCTATGAAGACACACATTGCACTAAACCGGTGTTGAAAGCTATGCGGTCTTGGTTAATGAGGATTTTCATAGCACCACAAGTGTTCATTAAATAGAATTAAATAGTCCTATTCTGCCAAATGTTGCTTCATCAGTCCATAAAATGTTAGCTTGTTAAGCAGCTAGTAACCAGTTACAAAATGTAACTCGCGCTGGTTTGTCAGCTTCACTGAGTTCATGAACACGATGCAGGTAGAAAGGGTACTTCTCTTCAATGTTTATGACACTCCATGCGTAGTATTGTGACACAATGATCTGTCGGGTGCCTCATAAGTGCTCGCTGCTGAATTTTGTTCAAAAAACTGCAGTATGCCTTCCTACTCACGGACTAGGTGCCGCGGTGGACGACCACGATCGATTGATACAGGCTGGAATTGCCCGTAATCTCGCAATCGCTGTGTAGCGCCTAGCATCGTAGGGTAGCTCGGTGCACGTGAGTTGGGAAATCACCTTGAATATTCATGACAGGCTTCACTAACGCTATTATTGCAAATTGCTAGAATTCGCACCATTTCGGTTTACTCAACCTTTGAGTATCGGTAAGCCATCGTAACAAGGTAATGTTCACAATATTAATCTCACAACGGAACGAGAAACGTCGCGGGCGCATCAAAGGCGACTGACGACACAGGTAATTAATTAAGTCAAGTTCAAATGAGCCAGCACCGCCTCCTCCACCCCTCCAACCCCTACCCCGCCACGCGCTTTCTTTTGCTAATACTAGGACTATTACCGTTTAGAAGGTCCAATTAAATTATTTTTATTTTTGTATGAAAATAAAAATTGAAGAAATATTTTTTTTCATACAGATATTGTTGTTATGATGTAATAGTATATTCCCAAAAAGTTTTCAGTAAATTAAAAATTACCCTATATATAGTCGATTTCGATATATTTTAAAATTTTGTATTAATCGACAAAACGTTAAAGCAAAAAAAGCAGCTACAAAAGCGTTAATGTGCTGTTGTCGTTTTTTTTTTCGTCATCAAACCATCGGTAATAAAATTTTTGGGCCTTACCCTAGTACATCATGCAAAACATGACGATATATCGATATTTAATCACGTGATATATATCGATACTTTTTAAAAATGTCGATACGATATATTTTCCACTTGCGCATCCCAAATAGGCAGCCAGCGACACGAAAGAGATATTCTTATTTTTTATTTATAGTGACATTAGCTACAAGGCTTTAAGCAAAAAAAAAACTAAGTTTTTTATTGTTATATAAAAATATATGTAAAAATATTCTAATATGTAAAAAATAACAGTATGTTGATACATCAAATTGCGATGTTTTTGGGAGATTTTGACGGAATCTTAGCCCAGCAGACTTGCGGCAGACAATCAATGATGACAAGAGAAATCGGGCACTAATAATTAATAAAAAATAATTGTATAAAATAACTTATATATTTTTTAATAACCGTTGTTTATGGCGGGAACTTGGATCTTAATAATTTTACATGTATGATTATGGGTAATATTTTTGTACTGTATGCCTATGCAATTTGTTAATACTAAAACAAGTGCTCCGATGATTGCCTATCGTCATCAAATTTCCGCTGGATTGTCGAATGCCGTCGTAATCTTTCAGAAAATTCATAACGTAACTGACGTGATTCGTAATGTATTAAATTGATTATTACATTCTGATGTATTTGGCGTTGGGGAAAACATTATCCGTACCATAGACTTCAGATATAATGGAGCTGTAAGAGTTATCAAAAAGAATAAAATCCGATAAAGTCACTACGTTTTCGAGTCATAACCAAATATAAAAAAGGAGTTTTGGCGGGAACTTGACCGGCGACGGTTTGCTTCTCCTGTGTTATAGTTTAAATAATAGTTTGAAGTGAAATTTGATATGTAAAAGTGGTGCGATTTTTTATATTAACTGTCTACGCATGTGAACTATTAGTGGAAACGGTGAAACAAGTGCTCTGAAGGTGATGGATTCTCAAGATAAGCAGTTTGTTTGCATAGGCGCCTTTCGATACGATCGCCAACTGTCAGCTGTCTGCTGGCTCAAGTTGCCGTCAAAATCTCCCAAGGGCTGCTCAATGTGACGCATCAACATATTGTGAAGCAGTGAAATTCTATATATTCAAAATAAAAAAGACAAGGCTGTATGACACAGTTAATTTGCCTACTCTTTCGAGCGAATAATAAAAACAACAACAACAAATATAAAAAAAACTAAGCATCTGATTGTCATAATGACATACGAATACGATATAACGTCATGTCAATGAATTATGAACTTCCTGAGACCCTGAGATATTTATTTTCACAGAATAACTGTGGATCTTAATTTTCTAAATTATCTATTTTAGAAGTTTTAGTTTTTATCAATTCGTAACAATGCGGATGACTTTTTGTATCCTTCGACATTTTAAACGTAAACCTATGGTCTACGCAATGCTGCGAAGGCATAACAGTGATGTGAATCAACTAAAATTAAACGAGCCAAATGCATTGGGTACATATTATTAATTTGTTATCAATATCGTCTTAAAAATTGAAGCTACATTATGTTATATATTAGTGTATTCTAATCATCATAACTGCCCATCACACGTTCTCTACTAAGCTAAGCGAAAAACCTCTCACAGATTGCCACATATTTGTTTTGAATCACCTACTTAATTGTTTTTTTTTTCATTTAAATGAAACTAATTTTACAGATTTTATCGCGTATATTAACTTATTTTATATTCCCGACGTTTGGAGCACTTTACAGCACTCATGGTCAAGGGACACAAGAGCACACACAAAGGATTCCTACCAATTTTGTCAGCGAGATTAAAGACCTACATCTGGCAGACAATGAAACTATGGTCAGTTTTGATGTGCAGTCTCTGTTCACACGCTTACCTGTTGAAGACTGCATCTTGATTTTTACTAGAAGGCTGGAGGAAAACTACATGCCCGTAGAATATGCAGTATTACTCAGACACTGCCTTACATCTGGCTACCTATTGTGGAAGGAAGAGTTCTACAAGAAAGTAGATGGAGTGGCGATGGGTTCACCTGTATCTCCCATTGTCGCCGATATATTCATGATAGACTGAGAAGAAATCCCTGCTTACTTTTCCCGTAAACCCAAGATTCTACAAGTGGTACGTAGGCGACACTTTCACAATTCTACTTTAAGATAAAGTAACTGCATTTTTAGACCATCTTAACTCCATAAATTCTAAAATTCAGTTCACAATGGAGTTACAATTCTTTAGCTTTTCTAGATGTGTTAGTACACTGTGTATAGAAAAAAGACCCATACAGATAAATATTTAAATGGTGATTCTCATCACTATACTTCACAGTTAGCTACCATGCGTAAATCTTTGTTACAGAGAGCACTAGGTATCTGTGACAGTGAACACCTGGCCGCTGAGCTCCAACAAGTCAAGCAAGTTTTGCACAACAATAAGCTTCGGGTCCCACACCTACGTCACAGTGAACGAGTGAAATCGGCCACAGTCGAGCGAGTGCCTGCTGTACTGCCATATGTCAGAGGTGTCACTGACAAAATTGCAGACTTCCATTAAAACATACACTTACAAGCTTGATTATGAATGTGGTCTCTCTTATATAGGACAAACTAAAAGATCCATAAAAACCCATGTTAAAGAACACATAGCTGATGTGAAGAATCGACACTCCGGGAAGTCTGCAGTCTGTGAACACGTACAACAGGATCGCCTCCATCACTACATTTGATTTGATAAACCACAAATCCTTGCTAAAGAACACTGATTCCTTACAAGGATTATTTGTGAGGCTATTGAAATCAAAAAACATCTTAATTTCAATAGAGAAGATGGCTGGGTGCTACCATCTGCTTGGGATCCCATAATTAATAAAATTAAATCCCAAACCAAGCATACAACTGTAAGACCTCAAGATACTGTAAGTTCATACTGCGTAGATCGGAACAAAAATTAATAATTTTTAATCTGGAGGTAGCCTGTGGTGGGACGTCATATACCTCAGTCCCCCCCCCCCGTGACCATGCGTGCGCGTGTTATATATACGCGATAAAATCCGAAAAATTAGTTTTATTTACATGTGTAGTGTTCATTATATTTTTTTTCATTTCGTGGTATTATTCTTTGAGGAAGGCGACAAAGACTTCTGAGCATACCTTAAGGCTTGTGTTCAGTAGAGGCTGTAATGATGAGAATAATTCTGTGAGTGTGGTCCTCGCTTGGCTGACCCATTCATGCTGCAGCCGTAATATGTATGAATGAAACTTTAATAAAAATAAATGTATATGTGGAGTTAAGAAATTATATGTTATAAAAAAGAATTACACCATTACACACGTGAACTATAAATTTAAACATCATCACATCAACACATTTAAGCTCATCATACTTAGAAGACTGCCGAAACTATAACCTTCTTACTGAATATTATCACATTTAATGTGCAAAGAAAACATACTAGAATCACTAAGAAAACTTTGTTTAGTATTCCTTGTCACTCCACACTTTACGGTAAAAATAGTATCTTAACACAATTGCTATTAAATTATAACAAAACATTTAATACCATCGATCCCTTTATAGGCAGTAAAAGTGATTTTAGAAACAAGGTACGTGCATGCATTTTGAACACAGCTTCTGTTGTTTAAATTACCTGTTTGTAACCAGTTACACAGGATGCAGGTAAGATACATTATAAAGAACACTTACTGTAGGTAGCTATATATAAATAATAAGTAAGCTTTATAAATATTTTAGAATATGTAATATATGTATGTGTGTGTATGTATGTATACATGTATGACAGATATAATATATTATGACATGATATAAATGCATAAAAAATTATTAGAGGACATTAAGGAACATTACTAGAGGAGTAAATCGCATATCAATTTATCAGTAAGGTTTAATATCTAACTGTTAGTAAACCTAAAACTACTTAAATTACTGTTATTTTATTAAGCTGTTTTAAATTGGTCTAATATCCATAGTTTTTATTCATTATAATAGTACCTGGCTTATCTTTATATTTAATATGTGGATAACCATTATTGGCATACTTGAAGTAAATTTGAAAATTGTATTTAGTCATATACGCTGTTGTTATACTTATTGAAATAAAATAAAATAACTTATTGACAGGTTTTTTATCTGATACTAACTACATTGAAGTGTCACCATCATGGCCAGCAGAGGAGTCAGAAAAGAGAATGAAAGCTATCAGCACTATGCGCATCTTCCCAAATTTTGTAACTGAGGAAGAGGAGGCCTCTTTGCTTACTGAAGTTGAGCCACAACTCAAAAAATTAAGATACGAATATGATCATTGGGACAATGTGAGTTTTGGTATTTTTTTTTGATAAAATATATGTCGGAGATTTACAACAGAGGATCCCCATTTTGATCTCGGAAATACAACAGGATAGTGTTAACTGTTAAAAATTTTAAAAGTGTGAGAGCGATTGTTCAACTTGCTCTCTTGCTTACACTATTAATCATTATCAGTAATAAGATAACGTAACGCACTATACATTCAGTATAGCGAAATTACAGTTCGTCCATACCGTAACACGTCTCCGCCACAATCACACACCACTGTAACATGAGGTGTGTAATTACATGATAACACCAAAATATATAAACCAACAGCAACACTACTTATCTCATTGTAACACAGGGCAGCCTCTCAGCAACACCAATCCTTTTTGCCTGCACTAGAAGAATTACAACAACGAACAGAACCACAACACTATCTTACTACTAAAACTAGTAGAATGACCACACTCGTAGAATCACTTAAGCGGAATCTCCCCCGCACGGCACCTACAGTGAACTTTATACTGCACAAACAAGTGGGGGTTTCTCGATATACCCTCATTTCCACCTCGATCCAAGTGATATTTTATAGACGCTCCGACATAATATATTATTTTCATTGCTATATGGATGTACATTGAGTAATATAATACTGTGAGAATGCTCAGCCCCTGAGCTACTTAGGCACTTCTTAGGTCATAGAGCATAGTGCCAAGGTCCACCAGGTATTCTGCAAGGGTTATAATTCTTCTATACATTGTCTTTTCACCAACTTCTGAAGCTTTAATGTGGAAATACATTTATTCTTGTTAGTACCTTGGAGCCAGCTTTTACTTTTTATTAAAAGATAAATTTTATAAAAATAATAGGTATTCTTTACTCTTAAAACTAAGTATATATCATTAATTGTTCCCAGGCCATTGAGGGCTACCGTGAAACGGAACGCGAATCTTGGAACGATCGGAACACCGCAGTTTTAAACCGCATACGTGAAGTAGCGTTTTCTCGTGAGACAGTGCTGCTGCCTCGGGCACACGTTCTAGACCTCGCTGCCGCTGGATATATTAAACCACACATCGATGCCGTAAGGGTAAAATCAATTCGATGCCTACCTATTACACATGCACAATAATATGACACATTTTATATGTGGTATAGTATAGTTGTAGCACAAATGGGTCGGCTCAACTGAGGAAACACCACACTCTCACATTGACCCTGTTACTGGATAAGAGGCATTCCATCTTAGTCCTCAGGGGTGACGATGCATCTGCATTTTAATTCTTAATGAGGGCTAATAATATTCCGTTTACCAGATGTCGCTAGTTGACACTGAGGTAGTTTTTTGTTACACAAAATCATTTAATTGAGAAGTTAGTCTTAAATAAAAGTTTATGAGTTTCTAGAGTACTATATTAGTATACAAAACAATGCCATAGTTATTTACTCTTAATATATACATACATACATACATAAACACTCACGCCTGTCACCCAGAGGGGTAGACAGAGACTACGGACTTCCATTTGGCGCGATCCTGACACACCTCTCTCGCCTCTTTTACATCCATATATCTACGCATACACGCTCGTCGGTTAAGGGTACTCCTAATCTGGCCCATTTAAACTCTTTTTTTATTTTTCTACTTTAATTAATACCTGTGGTTTGGTTTATTTATTTTTAATCTAATTAATATGAAATATAATTAATAGTACAGAAAGAAACATTAACTTTTAAATTTTTCTAACAAATTGACTTCCCCCCTATGAAATCTGTCAAATATTACACATCATTTTTAGGCAGAAAAAGTCAAAAAATGAGTAATGAATAGATGTACGATGAATATGGGCCAAAACAACCATTTGACAGGCCTGTTGGTCTAGTGGTTAGTGACCCTGACTGCTACGCCGGAGGTCGTGGGTTCGATTCCCACCCAGGACAAATGTTTGTGTGATGAGCACGATCATTTGTTCTGTGTCTGGGTGTAATTTATCTATAATATTTATGTATTTAGAAATATATAAGTATGTTTATCAGTTGTCTAGTACCCATAACACAAGCTCTGCTTAGCTTGGGACTAGATGGCGTTGTGTGATAGTTGTGGAATATTATTATTATTATTATTTACCGTCAGGTGGATTGTGTCCTCGTTTGTTTCACTTATCCTATAAAAAAATAACCAATACTAACAATGTTGTTTTATTAATTAAATAATTTATTTATTATGATGATAGTTCTGTGGCAACACAATAGCTGGACTTTGCCTCCTATCGAGCGCAGTCATGAGACTAGTGCACGAGACGAGACCTGAACTTCAGTTGGACGCACTGCTTGAACGCCGGTGCCTCTATGTCATGAGGTAAGTGTTACTGAATTTTATTTTTAAAATGTAGCTTTTTTTATCCTTTCCTTCTAATTAATTTATTTTACTTCAAATAAATGAATTACAATGTTCAATTTATTATTTCCTATTTGCTGTTAATTGAAATTGAATTAATCGTAATCCCTTTTTGAACCAATAGTTTGACTATTAATTGTTTAATGCGCCAAACGATCGATCTAGGCCAAGAGTTCATACATTATTATTTTATTTATTTGTCGTTGCACCAACAATAATATACTTCAGAGTGGTTAAATAAAAAAAAATGAGTAGCGTCACTCCTTATATCATCATAATAATTAATTTATACATAATAAAAAATTAGCCTGTCTGCAGTGTCGAAATAAATGCCTTTTATTGAGCTGAGGAAGTTAGTCGCACGACGTTAAAACATAAATTTTTAAAAATTTTGTCTGTCTGTCCGGGCTATAATCTTTGGAATGGCTGAACAGATTTTATAGGAACTTCACGAATATTTAGATGAAAGTAATGCCAGTAGTAATCTAGGTTATATTTTATCCAAAATACTTGGGAGATTTTTTTTGAGAAATCATAAAGTTAATAAAATAAGTGGTCTCTGATGAATATTTTAAATCTAAATAACGCCACATTAACAGACTCAGGCGAAGCCGGGACGATTTGCTAGTATAAAATATTTTAATTACTTGCGACAAGAGTTTAATATTATTATTATTTTTTTAGTGGCGTGGCTCGCTACGAATTTTCGCACGCAGTGTTGGGCGGTGAACACAGCGTGTGGCGAGGGGAGAAGTTGCCGCGAAAACGTCGCGTCGCCATCATCTGTCGAGAGCGGCCCAGCGATCACGACTGAACTACAAATTTTAGTTTATTTAAAACGTTGCAATTTATTTAATTTTAAATTTGTCAATATTTTTCCATTATCTATCCAATACAGCCTATAAAAGTCCCCTGCTGTACATGGCCTTTAACATAGTTGCCTCACCCTTGGCAGGCGAGTTGACAACCGCAGTTTATTTATAATTTTGAGATGTTAATTTTAGCTTACACCTTTCTAAAAGGCCGGCAACGCATCTGCAATTCCCCTGGTGTTGCGGTTGTTCATGGGCGGCGGTAGTCACTTACCATCAGGTGAGCCGCATGCTCGTTTGCCCCCTCTTCTATATAAAAAAAAAGATGTTATCAAGAAGATGCTGCTGCCCATGTTCTGTTTCAGTTTCCCTCTGTCGCCTCTTACTACACTCACGGGACGACATGGGGTAAAAGTTTATTTTTTCATCACTACTGCTTACTACACAAATATGTTTAATAATATAAATTTATTTTTCACTTGCTATGTTCCTGTACTAAAGACTATGTGTGATAGCATGATTTTATTTTATATTTTCATTTGTAAAAATTACCTAAATTGGGACACGCGTGACACACGTAGGATTCTTCCGTGTAACCAGCCTACTTCAGACGGAATCCAGTTCTCAATCCATAGATTATATATATATAATACATTTTATACGTGGTAGAGCCATGCTGCAGCTATATTATGGTTGTAGCACGAATGGGTCGGCTCGACCGGGGAAGAACCACGCTCTCACAGAAAACCAGCGTAAAATAGCAGCTTAACGCTGCTGTGTTTCGTATGGTGAGTGTAGAGAACCGGAGACCCTTTTTACTGGCAAAGAGGCATTCCATCTTAGTCCTCACGGGTGACAACGCATCTGCATCTTGAGTCTTTATTGAGGATAGATGTAGATGTCTATGGGTCACAGTAACCACTTACCATCAGGTGAACTGTGTGCTCGTTTGTCACCCGATCCTATAAAAAAAAAAAAAAAAAAAATATAATACATATACTAGGAACTTAAGGTAATTTCGTACTTCCCAAAACCGTAGCTAATAATGCACAATCGAATGGAGGTTCGAATTAAAACTATCAGAACAGCATTTAACTGTAAATAATTAATGGTGCACAAGACCTATCTAAATAATTTATTAGGAAAGACATATCCCAGTATTAGTTACAACTATATAAAGCTTATTATTTAATACAATGTGTTTCGCAAGTCAAATGTTTTAGTTAAGGTTCTATAGGCGGGATGTTCTTTGTTGTTTAAATAAACATTGTTCGTATTGTATATAAATATATTTGAAAACTAAATAAGCTTTTTATTTAAATAATGATGACATAACAGATATTATGGTGTATGTTAACCGGTTCAGTGCGGATGGCACGCCAGGCGTGCCATCGATTATTTTTGTGTGTGGCGTATCACACGCGAGTCGTGTCTTTTTAAAAATCATTATAACTCGCTCAAATTGCATTTTGGAATATTTATCCAGAGCAAAATATTCATTATTTTGCAAGTAGTTCATGCCTTCGTTTCTGGATATTTTGAAAATTTGAAAATTTTAGGGGTTGACAACCTTTTTTTAACTTGTACACTTTTTGGTACTCTTTTTACTTTGTGGGTTTTAAATCATGTTGTGGAAAAATAGTTTAATAAGTAACAAATAATAGCACTCATTGCGATCGCTCACAAAATCAAGTTGTAAATAAATTTCTGGAAAAGAAGTCTCCTGTTAAAAAAAAACAATGCGTTTGTCTTATTGTTTAATTTTACTTAAACTGCCGTCTTATTACTATCATATGGCCGAATAGACCTACGAAGTACCATGTGCTCTTGTGATATGGCATAAGTTTTATTTTTGCTTGAAACAGTTCGAAATCGTTCATGCATAAAAAAGTTCGCTAATAAATAGTCTTTTGTCATTCCGTCCGCCGTTAGCGCCGGCATTATTTTCCTTTTGAAAAGTGTTTTCAATTTGCTAATCATACTAATTAGACGTTTTCAGATCGACTTTACTTTTACAATTGTATAACATTAAATAATATTTAACATTTGTAATTATCAATGAATCATAAACCTTATTTTTTTTCAAAATTAAGGTACTCGATTGTTTGATATTTACAAATGTTATTATTAGGTGAAACTTTAATTTAATAAAAACCAAGGCTTTCCAGGGTGATTTAGCTGTACCTACTTATATAAATGATTTTTTTTTATAAAACAAAAAATAGTACAAAAGGTTTGTAATCTCTGCATAAAAAAAGTCACTTACTCTCAATTTCAAAGAAAACACGAAGAAAGACACGTAGTTATCGCTAAAAACAAGCATCCTTTCGTTTGTAACTGATGTTTGATATCAGCTAAACTCAATTAGGTCTAAACAAGTGAAAAAAGCTTAAAAAAGAACATTACTTTTACACATGCCATTATCTCGATGATGCCAGTATCTCGACTCCAGTCAGTAATTCATTCTTGGGGCAATGTATACGCTATTACAACAAGGTCCCGGAAAGTGTACAGGTTCTTTCTATTACAAAGTTTAAATGTTTTATTAACTGAAACTGTATAAAAAGGGTTATTATAGTATATATGAATACATGGTTGATAATAACCCCTGGGAATGAGGTGGTCGCTTCCAAGCAGTTTCTAAAATAAATTTTGTAAATAGTTCGTAATCATTTATATTGTAAAATTTATTTAAAAAAAAGTCCCGCTGGGTTTCTTGCTGGTTCTTCTCAGGACAGAGGGTTTTTTTCTTCTACTTTCAATAAGAATTACACGTGTATTGAATAAAAAAATATTCTATTCTATTCTATTCCATGGCTGATGGCACAATATGCGCAAATTCTGTGGCGCTAGACACGCCAGGCGTGTCATGAAATATTTGTTCGCCGCCACAGCTAAAAGTTGTCGAAAATCAGTGCCGCAACGAATCGGTTAAGGAACAGTAAGCTGAAGTGGGAAATGGGCCATGTAGCTCGAAGGACTAACAACTGATGGGGAAAAGTTTTCACAAGTGGCAGCCTCGTACCAGTAAGGGAAGTGTAGGGCGACCCTCCCCCCCAAGATGGTGTGCCGACTTGGTAAAACATGCAGGAAGTCGATGGAAATAAGTGGCTCAGGATCGTGCTTTGTGGCATTCCTTGAGGGAGGACTATGATCAGCGATGGACTGATGGCCTGCAATGATGATGGTGTATTTTGGATATTTGTTATTGTTCTGACATGGTTCTTTTAAACCGTACCAAATAAACAATTAAAAGACTATACTTAATTTGTTTTTATTCTGTGTACAAGTAGGGGTGGAAGTCCAGGAATTGCTGGAAGTGCTGGATGTGGGCCTCCCCCGTTGTAAGGAGGATATGCCTTAGATTTTACGTTTGAGACATTTTGCACTTCAAACGCTGCCGTCATCACCAAACTGAGTATTTTGCATCTGGTATGAACGGCAGACTGAACATTCTGATATGTGAAGTGAAAGCACAATTGTCCTGTTCTCCACCCATCACTAATACTACCCACAAATCTGTGAAAACCATAGGGAGAGACGGATGATGGATTTATAAGGAACTATATTCAAAACATAAGCTACTGAATTTGTCTGTTTATTATTGAATAAACTTCCAATATTGTAATATATAACAGTATGCAATTTGAAGCATATAATATAGTTATAAACTAACTTTTCTTACAATATATTGTCAGTCCTAGTCCTACAGGATTATAAAAATTATATTAATGACACTAATTTTATTTATAATCTATCTTGTATATATACATTGAAAATGTGTAGTAGACGCTACGAAATTTTAATCTTCAAAGCAAGTCTAATAAGGTTTAAAATATTTGGGTGGTTTTCGTTATTCTCATGTAACACGACTTCCATCCATCCCATCAGGTGGGCTGTATATCTCATATACTCATAACACTCCTGCACTTTATCAGACAGTAAGTCTACTTTACTAGTTGAGTTACATCACACTATTACTATCACTATAGCCCGTCACAAGTCCACAACTGCCTCCCTCAATCGATTGCCACAAATTAAGGTCCTGAGCCACTTGTATCCATCGACTACCTGCGTGTCATCAGGTCTGCGCATGTAGAAACTACATAGTAGCATTTCATTTATCATCATTAACATAGACTTCCCCTCATAGAGGTGATATTTGCTATAGTTGCCACGCTTGGCAGGCGAAGTGGCAACCGTGGTTTTTTACTTATTTTGAGTCATTATCAGAAAAATGCTGCTGCCCATCTCCTGTTTCTGTTTCTCTCTGTCACTTCTTGCGACACCCACATAATATGGGGAAGTGGGATAACATGATGTCGTGTTCCATCAGAACAAATGACCTTTTTAACATAATGTATTCAATCGAAAACAAATCTTCATGAAGGTGTTGTTCCATTTGTTATCTATCATTCAGTCTGTAAGTCCACCATATCTTCCAATGTATCCATTTCAAGATACTCCACCTCGCCCCCTCCCTCTATTTCCATTTCACCATCTCCCCTCATAACGACCCTCCACTCGACACCGTCCGCCTGAAACACAAGTTCGATTCATACTTTTTTGCTTTGTCTTAGAAAACAAAATTTTTACTTCCACGGTAAAATTTTTTCATGTCTCGTATATAAGTAAATTGTAGAGGTAGGTGTGCCATGTTAGTCTATGGTCCATTATGTAATTTAAAAACTTATAACAATAAAACAATATGCAAACTGTGTAACTGGCAAGTAACTAGGCATAGCATGTTTTAGAAGGCGACTAATCTAATATTGACCTTTCACTTCCTCGCAAAATTGTCTTGTATTATGACTACGTAATTTTTGTTGTCAGCCTGTAAGATCACAGTTGGACATGAGTCTTTACCATTTTATGGGGTACATTTACTACTAGGTGATACCCCGACTTCGTCCGCGTTACTTACACACATCACTGAACACGTAGTGCTTATAAAAATAGTAGTTTCTTAAAATTTTAATAATTTTATATTAAATAAAGATATCGCAATATTTTTTTTAGATAAGGGCCAAGTGTCTAAGAAATAAAACTTAGAAAACCTAATTGAAATCTATTCAGTAGTTTTTCCGTGATGCGCGCACCACTGCAAACCTCTTATCATTTTATTTATATCGATAATCGACAAGCTGGCAAATTGTCAAGTAAGTAAATATGTCGTACCTTTGTCACTGCTCTATATTCAATACATTACTTAAAATATTTAGATGAACATTGCACATTAAAACTACTTTTACTGATTTTATCGCGGTAAAAAAAGTTTAATTCAATAAATACATTTTTTGGAACGAAGTTCCTTATCAGACGATACGGATTTGGCGGATGGGAGAGAGAGCGAGAAAATGTCTAACGTAGTGTCTTAGACGGCCTTGGCGGCGGCTATAAGGAAGCGAGATGTGATAATATCCATCTCCCTCGCACTTTTTCTGACCTTGCCATGAAAGAAATATTATTTAATTTTAAATGGCGCTTCATTTTAATAGACGCTAGTAATTCATTTATTTGTATTTGTTAATCTATAATATAATACATTTATCAATAACAATATACTACGAAAGGACCTTCTTTCCAACCGAGTGTTCCACGACACTCAAACATGTTTTCTTTTATAATATAATATTTATATTCACGCAATTGTTTTTACCTGTTGCGTATTCAGTTCGTTGCGATGTACGCGCATGTGGCGTTTCATCGCTGCAACTGACCCGAACCTAAAATAACAAATGATAAAATTAAAAATTTTACACAACCAACTTCAATATAAATCAGCTTTTCCCAACCTTTTTTTTTTTACCAGGGACCACTTGGATTTCTTTGTTGTTAGCAGGGACCACAAAGTGAAAAAAATCTAATACTAAATTTTAATCACAACTTTTAATAATAAACTGAAAAGCAGCATTCATTCACAGTATTATTTGTGTATTTACTTTAAAAGAAGGTATGTATGTGGTCCATGGTGCTGAAGCCTTTTCGGAAACCGGCTTGTTCGGGAGGCTGGAAGTCGTCAAGTCTGCGCGCAAGACGATTCGTAATGACTCTCGAAAACAGCACGTAGACGCGGCTCAGAAGGGAAATCGGTCTTTAGTTCTTCAAGAGAGCGTTGTCACCTTTCTTGAAGAACAAGACCACCGCACTTCTGCTCCACGCCTCCGGTGTAATGCCGCCACGGAGGACGGAATTAAAGAGCTTCTGAAGAACTTCAAGTACCGGTCTTCCACCCGCTTTCAGAAGCTCTGCTGTAATTCCATCGCCGCCTGGGGCCTTGCCGTTTATTAAGGTGCGGGAGAGCCATTTTAATCTCACTCAGACTGACGTCCGGGATATCTTCGGAATAGTGTCGGATAAGACTCGCTCTTGGATCGTTACTCACACTTGCGTGTGGTTTCAGCAATGACGTGTACAGCTGACCAAAGAACCTCTCAATCTCACTCAAAATCTCAGGTGCCCCGGAAACGATGCTGCCACACTCGGTCTTCAGCTTTGACAGTTGGCTCTTTCTGGCAGACAGGTCTCTGGCAAAGACTTTGGAGCCTTGGTTCCGCTCGATCGCTTCTTCAATACAAGCTGTATTGAAGTTGCGAAAGTCCCGCCGCATGCATTTGGAGATCTGTTTGTTCAGTTGCCTGTATCCTGTCAAATCTGTTGAAGAATGTAGCTTCATCTCCCGTCTAACAGCCATGAGATTGAGAGTGTGATCGGAGAGTTTTTGTATTCTTCTGCGGCGGGTCTTGCAGAACTTAGCTCCGACCGCATGGACAGTTTCCATGAACTTGTCATTCATAACTTCCACTTCATTGCAGTATTCTAGGCACTGAAAACGGTTTTGTAACTCGAGCTGAAAGGTTTCGGGACCTTGGAACAGAGCACGAGGGGGACGGAGCGTTGATTTTATTAGACGAGACCTCTCCAACTTAACGTTTAGGTTCAGTGTGCCTCTAACCATTCGGTGATCGCTACCAGTTTTCACCCTCGCGATCACGGAGACATCACTGAACAGTTGTCGTCTGGTCGTCATAATGAAGTCAATCTCATTTTTTGTGGAACCGTCGGGGCTCGACCAGGTCCACTTCCTGTGGGGCCGCTTCTGGAAGAAAGAGTTCATCATAAAGAGTCCCTCTTTCTCCATGAAGTCGGCCAGCTGCTGGCCCCGTGGGTTCCGTTGCCCTATTCCAAATTTCCCTACTTTCAGCTCACCGTTTTCTCTTGTGCCTAGTTTTGCGTTGAAGTCTCCCATTAACACCGTATAGTGGGTTTTGGAGGAATGCATGGCTCTAGAGATATTCTCATACATTTCCTCCACCTCCTCATCGGGGTGTGCCGAGGTTGATGCGTAAACCTGTATGACCTTCAGCGAATACCGTTTGGTGATTCTGAGTATAAGGTACGCAACCCTCGTCGACACACTCTCAATCTTTACAACGTTGTTAACGAGAATCTTGTGGACGATAAATCCGACACCTCCTTGGGACAGATGGTCGCCCTCCCCGTGATAGAGCAAGTTGCCGGATTCGAGGATTACCGTGTCCTCCCCCTCTCCTCGGACTTCGGATAATCCTATAATATGCCAGCGTAACTTGTCTATCTTTTCTTCCAGCTCCACGATCTTCTCGTCAGTTCTCAGGGTGCGTGCGTTGTATGTTGCCAGGTCGAGTCGTCTTAGGTGGCAACCGAACCTCCACCGGAGATTCTTAGCTCCCCCTGCCCCGCCGTTACCATGGTCGCCACCGTAGCCAGGAATAGCGGGGCCGTTTCTTTGTTACTCTCAACATAGGGGGTATTTGCCATAGTTGCCACGCTTGGCGAGCGGGTTGGCAACCGCAGTTTTTTTATTGTAAGTTTGTTGTTATCAGGAAGACGCTGCTGCCCATCTCCTGCCTGTTTCCCTTTGTCGCCTTTTACGACACCCACGGGAGGACATAGGGTAGTGGATATTCTTAACCGCCACTACACGGCAATAAGAGCACGATATATTAATGAACAATGACAATACAATAATTTTATGACTGTAACCTAGCATTCACACAAGGATCATCAGTATAATCGAGTCTCATTTTTATTTTTTTCATGATATGTTAGTTGATTAATGTACTAACGTGCGCGGGCAATGTGGACAGTTGGTGGAGGGCGGGGGCTGCGGCTCGGGCTGTGGCTCAGGCTCGGGCTCCGACTCGGCCGCGCCACTGTGGCACTTGCGGATGTGCGACAAGAGGTCGCTCCTGCGAAACAAATAATATTCTGAAGCTATATAGCAAATAATCCATCGACTTCCTGCATGTTTTACCAGGTCGTCACTCCATCTCGTGGGGGGACGCCCTACACTTCGCCTACCGGTACGAGGCTGCCACTCGAGAACCTTTCTTCCCCATCGGTTGTCGGTTCTTCGAGCTATATGGCCGGCCCACTGCCACTTCAGCTTACTAATCCGTTGGGCTATGTCGGTCACTCTGGTTCTACTGCGGATATCCTCATTCCTAAGTTTATCACGCAGAGAAACTCCGAGCATATACTCCCTCTCCATAGCTCGCTGAGCGACCTTGAGCTTCCTCATACGGCCAGCAGTGAAGGACCACGTCTCAGTTCCGTAAGTCATCACTGGCAACACGCACTGGTTGTACAATTTCGTTTTAAGGTTTTGAGGTATGTCTGACGAGAAGATGTGTCGTAGCTTCCCGAACGCTGCCCAGCCGAGTTGAATCCGTCGATTGACCTCTCGGTCGAAGTTGGACTTACCAGGAAGTCGATGGATGCAGGTGGCTCAGGACCGTGCTTTGTGGCATTCTTTGGGGGAGGCCTATGTTCAGCAGTGGACTTGTGAAGGGCTGTAATGATGATGATATAGCAAATAATAGTGTTGCTCGCCACTATTAATGTCTTGTACATGGCAACACTAGTTACGACTAGCGCCCTCTAGTGTCGAGTAGCAGAACTAGGAGAGTCAAGATCCTTCTAGAAATTTCGGGACCGATATGTACTCGAACATTCTAGGTGTCGCTACAGTAGAAGGTTCTGGAAACTATCTGAGGCCCTATATAAGGCCGGTATAGACCACGACCGAGTCAGTATTGAATTGGCGATACAAGCGAATACTTCGAAGTGATATAACTGCGAACTAAAGTGACCAGTAGTACAATTCTGTAGGTGAAAGGTGAAGGACTTTAAGTCACAATCTATAAAGTTTACAGTAGACCCCATTAATGATGACTAAAACCTCATGGAAGTATTAAAATGAGCTTTTATAAAAAAGTTGAAATCGGATCGTTGTCAAATAAAAACCTAGGATTACTTTATTTCTTTAACTATAAATTTTGATACATTTTGGATAGACTAAAGCCTCCGAAGGCTTTTTCTTTGGACTTAATGTTCTTTAACTTTGGTGAGTATTCAAATAATTATATATTGTCATGTTTTTTAAGTCCCTATACGAGGGCTGCACTAAAAGTATCGGGAATGGAATATTTCCACTGTTCCTGTCATATTAAAATCTTTTTAATTGAAAACCCCTTGGTTTTAAAAATCGTATACCATTTACTTATTTAAAAGAAGATTCTCGGTCTTGTCACAAGGTTTTGTCAAACTTGTTTAGTCGTTGAGAAAATGGAATTGACTCGAGAAAATACAAGAGCGATGATTTATTATGACTTTCGAATTGGTTTAACACAAAAACAGTGTGTTGACCGGATGATTTCTGCATTTGGTGATGAAGCCCCATCTAAAACCACAATTTATCGCTGGTTTGCTTAATTTCAACGTGGACGTGTCAAGCTCAATGATGATCCCCGTCAAGGTCGTCCAAAAACTGCAGTCACCCAAGAAAACGTTGATGCTGTGCGTAAGCTGATTGAGGAAGATCGACATGTGACATACCGCGAAATTCAGGCAACTTTAGACATTGGCATGAGCCAAATACAAATAATCTTGCATGAACAATTAGGTGTAAAAAAGTTGTTTTCCCGATGGATACCGCATTCGCTCTGTGAAGAGCAAAAAACGGCTCGCGTTACTTGGTTCGTCAGAACTCTCGAAAGATTCCACGCAGGATCCTCAAATGCTGTATACAACATCGTATCAGGTGACCAATCCTGGACATATGCGTACGAACCCGAAACAAAAAACCAGTCACGAGTTTGGGTGTTCGAAAATGAGTTAAAGCCAACAAAAATTGTTCGTTCACGGAGTGTTGCAAAAAAAATGGTGGCCACGTTTGTATCCAAAACCGGCCATGTTACGAATATTCCTCTTGAGGGACAAAGAACGGTTAATGCAGAATGGTATGCTAGCATTTGTTTGCCACAGGTCGTTTCTGAACTCCGTAAAGAGAACTGCAACCGCCGCATCATCCTCCATCACGACAATGCGAGTTCTCACACCGCACAAAGAACAAAAGAGTTTTTAGAGCAAGAAAACATAGAATTATTAGACCATCCGCCGTACAGCCCCGACCTAAGCCCTAATAATTTCTATACTTTCCCTAAAATAAAGAATAAATTGCGTGGACAGAGATTTTCATCACCTGAAGAAGCTGTGGACGCCTACAAAACGGCCATTTTGGAGACCCCCACTTTCGAATGGAATGGTTGCTTCAATGATTGGTTCCATCGTATGGCAAAATGTGTCAAATTTCGCGGAGAATACTTCGAAAAGCAATAAATACATTTTTAAATAGTAATGTTGTGTCACTTCCTTGATTCCCGAAATTTTCAGTATCTGTGTAGCTGTGGTATAGAAAAAGGAACTGGATAAAAATAAACTGCCACTGCGTTGCCAAAGATGAATCGATTGCATGGGTGATTGCTTTGATTAATAGATATAAAAATATAGAAAAAAAAATTACGTTAACTTATTTCATAAAAAACGGCAATTTCATAGGTAAAGACCATTTGGAAATATTATATTGTATTTTCTGTAATCATATTTATTTATTATTCAAATTAGAGAATGTCATTGTTACACACACCTTGTTGCGAAGCGTAGTATACACGCGTCATATCCGCAGACGAAGCGATCAGCGTGGCGGTGGCGCAAACGATGCGCGGCCAACAGTTCCCGCGTGGTGAAGCACCGGAAGCAAACTCCGCATAAAAATGGCGCACTGGTCGAATGCGAAGCGTTCGCGTGCGCAGACAGAGACGCACGCGAAGCAAAGCACACCCCGCATAGAGGGCAACGGGCTTCGCAAGTCGCTTCGTGACGACGGAGATCTGAGTGGCTCTGTAATATATATATAACATATAAAAATAATATTCAATAGTACAATTAGATAATCGGTCTAAAACAAAGTACTGTACTGCAGTTAGATATGATAATATGCTCATAATAACACCATATTGTATCGTGAACAAGAAGCCCTCGTCGTAAGTTTTATAGCAAACTATAATCAATAAAATATAGATAATTTATAATCTGTTGCTTCCTCTTCATCGGCCTATAAAAAATCACTTCTGGACATGGGCGTCTTCCACTGTAGATCCTGTAAGCCACTTCGCTACTAATGAAAAAAAGGGTATAGAAAGTATATAAAATAAAATTTACATACTACATTTTTCAATATAATATGTGTATATTTATTCTTTATAATTGTAGACTGATGTTTGTTAAATTGTAAATATTAATTTGTAAAGTAAAAATGAACATATATAAATAATAAATGAATAAAAGGTGACTGTCAATTTTTGCTGAGGAGTGGCCGGACGCCATAGACGGAAGTTGACGGCACTTTTTTACGTGGTAGAGCTATGCTGCAGCTATATTAGTGGTATCACGAATGGTAGCACGAATGGGTTGACTCGACCGGGGAGGGACCACGCTCTCACAGAATACCAGCGTAAAATAGCAGCTTAACGCTGCTGTGTTTCCTATGATGTGTGTAGAAGAGAACCGGAGACCCCTTTTACTAGAAACGAGGCATTTCATCTTAGTCCTCACGGCTGACAACGCATCTGCATTTTGATTGGTAACCGAGGATAGATGTAGATGTCTATGAGCCACAGCAACCATTTACGATCAGGTGAACTGTGTGCTCATTTGTCAACCTTGTCCTGTCGATCAAATTGGCGGTAAGAAGAAGCGTCCTTAATCGAGACGCATGTATGCAACTATGGACATGAAAGAAGCGAGAAAGTTGTGTCAGGATGGTGCCAAACGGAAGTCTGTAGTCTCTGCCTGTCCCTCTAGGTGATGGGTGTGAGATTTTATTTATTTATCTATACAAAGTACACACTAGCGTCTGACCGATGATCCGATGCCGAAGCGGAAGTCGTAAATACACTAAGAAATTCAGTTAGATTGGCTAAAATTAATAATATAAATGCTTTTGAAACTTTTAAAATAAGGGTTTATATTGACTGTATCATAATTGTATGAAAATTAAGCCGGTAATTTTAATCATCTCTAGAAGTTGATTTAGAGCTAACTAAAATAGCGCAATCACGACCATCGCGCTTTCGATCATTCCTAACAGTTAGTCCAATTTCAGCACTTGTTAGAAACTGTTTCGGCCAAAACTTCGGCCCATTTTGACACAAGCCGAAGCCTAGGTCGTACACTAGTACATACTGAGTCTCTTTTACAACTACCCTTCAATACGCCTACTAGAAGAAATTTAAATATGGATTAAGTAGTGACGTAAGAGCACATGTACAAAATGTGTTGCATCTACTATTTTCCTACCATTGTATGTGTGTAAATAAATAAATAAATAAATAATTTCACCTGAAAATTAGTATGGCAGAGGCGACAAGTGGAATTCACGATATCAGGGGTTGCGTGCATCGCTGAGTGTTCCGTGAGAGCATCGCGCGTTGCGAACTGTGCGCCGCAAGTCCAACAGGAATGGCGAGCGCTGCCTGGATGTAGCGCTACATGCGCACGGTACTCGCTTGCTCGCTACACATAGAAATAATTATAATACTATGTGAAAATTTTACTTTACTCGGATGACATCAGAGATTATTACCATTATAGCCTATCAATTGTCCACTGCTGAACGTAGGCCTACCCCATAGATTGTCTCATAGGGGTGATATTCGCCACTGTTACCATGCTTGGCAGGTGAGATGACAACGGCAGTTATTTATTATTTCAAGATGTTATCAGGACGGTGCTGCAGACCATCTCCTATTTCAGTTTCTCTTTGTCAACTCTTACGACACCAATGTAACGATATGTGGTAACTCTCACTCCTACTCCAAGAACATGGCAGAATAGAATGCAAAAGATTGAATAGACATAGAACATCCATAAATAAATGAATTAAACTTTGAAGTTGTCTGGATTGCACTTATTGTTAAATCCATACTATACAAGTGATACAGATTCTTAGTCATTCAAAACTAGTCATCTCTACAGTCTGTGTACATCAAAAGATAACTTAGATGTGGATTTGCACAAAATAGCCCAATGCAAACTAAGGCCCGTATTAATAAACATTACTCAACAATGAAATCAAGTGCGTAATCATTTGATACACCCTCATTACGATATCAGCATCTCAAGATCGTTGCTAATTAATAAACACATTAAAATAGTATTTCAAATCGCTGTACTTAGGAATACTGTTATGAGACTTGCACTCAAGTACACACACTTGAGAGTCGAGTTTCGTATATTAATCAGTGTGGCACTCAGCTGATATCATAAACCTAAACCGCATCTTGAGATATGTTTATTAATAAGATCATAACCTGAAGATTGTACTCAAGTGTGTGTACTTGAGCTGAGTAACGTTTATTAATACGGGCCTAAACTAATTAGGTGGAGGCCTGTACTCAGCAGTGGATTATGTGTAGACTATAATGGCCAAATACTCACACTTTGACTTAAAGTGACAGAGAGCACAAGACTTAATGGCATTTTTAAACTGAGTAGCATTTGAGTATTTAGACATGTCTACTTTTTAATTTCACATAATCATTATACAAATATTTAACAATGTATAAACACACCTGAAATGATAGTGGGCAAACAGAGCATTGATATACAGTATCACCACAGGCATTCCTAGCTTTCTCAAGATCTTCATCATCAGCAGCGGCAGCTGCCGCTAAAGCATCACGCTCTACCATGATGATATCATCCTCACTGTATGTACCACCAGAATTGACTCCTGGTCCACCAACCACTATGAATACATCAATTTTCTGTGTCAGTTCATGTAGTTTACGTCTTAGAGATCTGATTTTTTCACTTAATGGCGGTGCTCCTTTTGTGCTTAGTGCATTGCTGAATTCATATGCTTCGATAGCCCGGCGAATACAGTCAGTACATAGCCGACCTTCTGGAACAACCTATTTGTAAACAGATAAATTACTATCACAAAAATTTAATATACTAATTTTGTCCCTTCAACTCTTCAACAGGATATGTAATAGGTGGACATAAAAACATACCATATAGTTACAGCTTAAAATTATCAATCACCCTTATTTGTCCCGTGGCTGCTGTAAGAGGCAACCAGAAAAACCTTAAAAAGTTAAAGTTAAACTGAGTAAAATGCGTTAACAAAAATCGGATTACTCAAGGTTTTTATTTTTTTACTAGTTTTTTTTAGTATGAAACTAACAAGTACTGTACCATTTTACAATCCTGATTACATGCACAAACTTTTAGTGGCACTTGCCAAGGCACTTTAGAACATTTTTTTTAAAAGAGGGCCTTTCAACGTTGACAAATTTTGAAAATTTTAAATGCTTAGTTTAACAAATAGTCTTAATTCTAGAATACTTGGGGCAGTTGTGTCATTATTTTTGACTGTGGTTCTAGAAATGTTATTTAGGGTTACGGTTTAAAAATTTAAATGAACAAAAATAATCAAAATTAACCACAATAACTGAACAATGGTTACAGTTTGACCAAATTTCTAGGTTTTTCTTAAATGCCCATAATTTCCGCACTGCATGGGATAGATTTTTTTCTGATTTTTCTTATGATGGTTACAATCAATCCTGTCACCCCGTTTCGGCTTGACATTGAGTTCTAGGACAGCCTGTATATGTACTACTGATGGATACAGGTCCCCTCTCCTTCTTGAGAGGGTTTCAGGGCTTGGAAATATCCACCATGCTGGCCTGATGCATGTTGACAAATTTCATGTTTCCCACAATGTTTTCCTTAACCACCGAGCATGTGGTAAATCAGCACTTTTTTTATAGGAAAGGGTGACAAACGAGCACACAGTCCACCAGTGTGGTAAGTAGTTGCTGTGGCCCATAGACATCTACATATATCCTCGTTTGCGAATGAAAATGCAGATGCATTGTCACCCATGATGACTAAGATGGAATGCCTCTTTTCCAGTAAAAAGGGTCTCCGGTTCTCTACACTCACCATACGAAACACAGCAGTTTTAAGCTGCTATTTTACGCTGGTATTATGTGAGAGCGTGGTCCTTCCCTGGTCGAGCCAACCCATTTGTGCTACAACTATACTACTAATATAGCTACAGCTTGGCTCTACCACATATAAATCGACAATTTCATTGGTGCCAGCGAGTATCGAACCAGGTTGCTAACGTACTGTGAAATAAATGCTTAGTCCCACAGCACACAGTCCACCTGATGGTAAGTGGTTGCTGCGGCCCATAGACTTCTACATCTATCCTCTATTACAAATCAAAATGCAGATGTGTTGTCACCCGTGAGGACTAAGATGGAATGCCTCATTTCTAGTAAAAAGGGTCTCTGGCCACCTGCACTCACCAAGCGAAACGCAGAGGTAAACCTCTACTTCACGCTACACTATTCTGCGAGGTTGTGATACCACCCCGGTTCGAGCGGGGCCATCCGTGCGACAGCAAAAGCTGCCGCATGACTCAACCACTGTTAAAGCCCCCTAGTCCCTGAGCTAGATGGCCCCTTATGTCTTCTAATAAATAGCATATAACAATCTTGTTTGCAGCATATGTAAAATACGTAAATCCGAGACTGGTAGCAGTGTCAAAGGTGCAAGACATCTGCAGTCACCAATCGACATGGATAGCATTATGATCTGGTGAGCAGAGGATTATTAAAACGTCATGGAATTTGACATTGATTAAAATTGTTGGTGTTAAAATTTGTTAATTTGTTACAATGTATTATTTTTCTTTCTCTTGACTATTCATAAGAGCTTGTAAATGAGCCTATATGAATATAAATAATAAATAAATAAATAGATTAAGGGTAAATCCTTCCTACAACTCCTGGGATTAAGGTGATCCCTACCAAGCTATTTCTAATTTGTTTTGTGTTTTTTTATATAAGATAGGGTGACAAACAAGCACACAGTCTACCTGATGGTTAGTGGTTGTCACAACCCACAGACATCTACATTTATCCTCAAAGAAGAATGAAAATGCAGATGCGCCATCACCCGTGAGGACTAAGATGGAATACCTCTTTTCCAGTAAAAGTTGTGTTACATACATTGGTCATAATATAGTCCCAATGGGTTTTTTGCTGGTTCTTTCCAGGACAGAGGTTTTTTTTTCGAACCAGTGGTAATTAAACAAAAGAGCGACTTTCAATAAGTATTATTTATAATCTATCTATATTGAATAAAAGTTTCTGTTTTTGTACCTAAAGAGACGCCAATGTCCAGCAATGTGTTTTTACAGGCTGATGACAAAGAATAAGAAGAAATACAAATTGTTTTTTAATAATTGAATTTATTTTAAGTAATATAGGTTTACACTAATGCTATAAAGACTATTTTTATTTGTTAATATAAGAAAATACAATGTGCATGACCGTATTATGGTAGTACTAAGTACTAATACCTAGAGAAGGAGTCCTAAGACTCCTTTTGTCTCTAAGAGTTTGTCTGGGTAACTAACTCTTACCATTTTCTGCTCACAAATAGCAGGGTGTGCATAGTTAATTTCCAGACAGTATGGTATAGAGAGCTAGTATAATTACAGACAGAGAGGCATTCCATCTTAGCCTTTAGATGTAACAATGTGTCTGTAGCCGTCTTTATTTTTAGTTGGCTGCAGGTGTCCATGGACTGCAGTAGCTTACCATAAGTTGGACTGTAAATTCATTTGTAAATTCAGTTTAAAAAAAATGGTTATTTATACCTTGTTGTTATTAAGGTGCAGCAGCATTGAACGAAGAGGCACTTGCATAGGCGGTGCACCAGCGTCATGTTCTTCAGGACTTAGCAAATCACCAGCGGAACCACAAACCGCACAAGAATCACTCTCTAACTCTACCTTCATGAGAGTAGTCGCCATTTTTATAATTTTCGTTGCTTATCAATAAAAATATAATTTATATTTAGAATCATGTAAACAAATTAACGATAGAAAAACTATTGATACGAAGTTATGCTAAAATGCTTCCAATATATCTATGCTCTTTGCTTGAACGTACCACTCTTGGCAATGGAAACTTTGATGGAAACTGACAGCTGACAGTTGAAGTGTTGCCAGACATTTTGAATGAACGATCGTACGATGGGTAAATAAAAAGTCGTATTCCCTAAGAAAGTCTTTAAATAAAAATAGTACGCTTTTTTAACTTTGTTTTATTAAATAATACAAACATTGAGAATAAAAAACACTAAATTATTAGTATATCGGAAATGACACCAGGAGATCCCACTTCTGATGTCGGATTATTACAACAGAGGATCACAATTATTTTGATCTCTGAAATACACCAGGATAGCGTTAATTGTTAAAAATAATAAAAGTGTGAGAGCGGATGTTCAACTTGCTCTCTTGCTTACGCAGTTTAATAATTATCAGTAATAAGACAACGTAACGCACTATACATTCAGTATAGTGAAATTACAGTTCGACCACACCGTAATACGTCTCAGCCACAATCACACACCAGTGTAACGTGAGGTACGTAATTACATGATAACACCAAAATATGTACAGCAACAGCAACACTACTTATCTCAATGTAACACAGGGCAGCCTCTCAGCAACACCAATCCTCCTTGCCTGCACTAGAAGAATTACCACAACGAACAGAACCACGACAATATCTTAGCACTAGTCGAATGACCACACCCGTTGAATGACTTGAGCGGAATCTCTCGCGCACGGCACCTACAGTGAACTTTATACTACAGACACAAGAGGGGGTTTCTCGATATACCCTCCATTCTACCTCGATCCAACCGGGTATTTTATAGACTCTCCGACAAGTATTTATCTTCATATAAAATCTTACTGTTCATATTATTTAACATTTCTCTTGATGGAGAAAAATCAACACAACAACCAAAGCGTTTTATATGTTGTTTGGCTAATAGCGTGCCCTTCAAATTTGGATTTTCGTTTTGATGAGACTTACTGAACTGAAGCACCGTTCACAATACGCATTAGAGTGAGGAAGGCAAAGCAGTCATCTAACGCACATATTTCTGCCTAAAATTCGTCTGGCGGGAGAGTCATATCAACTTAATAAAGAGCATGGGTAATCTTCTCTACTCATCGTCCACATTTTGCATTATTTCTTCACTTACAATCCGAGGCACAATTTTCATTAGAGGGAACAAAGCATTTACTTTTATTTCTGTATGATTCTGATGAAGTATTGGTAGAAAATATGAAAAGTCCTATGAATTGCGTACGATTTTTATGTTTCGATACGTACATGCATAATATAACTCTAAAAAATCGTATGAATACAATTTAAATTTTACATCTGGCAACACTGATTGACCAGTGAGTAGCTGATGTTGTTACGATTAAGGCAAGCAAAAGTCCTAAACCATACAGCTTAGTCTGATTTGTATTTTGTTCACAATATTATGTTGTAGCGCCACTGAGCGCCAGATAGCGAAGTTATTGTTTCTTCCAAGTGTCCATGAAACTGCAAGTCATTCGATATATCGATACCGAGGATTCTAATGCAAGCTGATTCAGCAAGAAGAAGCCCTGAAATTGAAAAGATACGATAAAGGGGTTCTTTGACGCGCAAAGCTGTGTCATCTGAAGGTTAAACTGGACAAAATTTAGTCGACCCCAATCCGTGACTTTGTTTAACAACGACTCTACTTCAGACGCAAATTCGTTCCGATACTCGATGCCGTGATCATAAAAAATATTGGCACGGCCGGTGTGAAAAGCATCACCTGTGCTGTCGTTTGCATATCAATGAATGCTAGAATAAAGCCTTGTGGAACACCAGCGTTGATTGTTTTGGGAAGCTCATAGGAACGAATCTTTGAAAGAAGCGCTTTGTGCCAAACCCGATCTAAGGCCTTCGCTATGTCCAAACTGACAAAACAATGGCCAAGGCCTTTCTCAAGGAATCAACTGTCTCCGTCCATATATGAGTCAGGTAGACCAGAAGATCACTGATCTGATCTGATCGCTGATCGTCTTCGACGAAAAGAGTATTGGCAGTCACTAATCAGCTGGTGATCCTCAAGGTACCTCATGAATTGGCAGTTTATAATGGATTCCATTATTTTGGAGAACAAGGAGGTGACGACGATAAGCCTGTAGTTGGACGGGTCTAGGCGGTCACCATTTTAGGGATCAAGTGGACCAAAGTTGCCTTCCATGAATTTGGGACTATGCCTAGGGAGTAGGAGTACCGGAAAAGACGCGTTAAAACGGGTGACAACTCTGGAGCACATGTCTTCAACTCAATGGGAGGGACTCCATCAGGCCCACTCGAATTGTTGGCGTAAATAGAGAGGAGTGCTTTGCGAACCGAGCGCTGTGTAAACCGCACATCCGGCATGGAACACTCACAACGCGAGATAGTCGGCGGTTTGTTCCCGCCATCATCGGGTGTCAACTTTCTCCTTGGCTGCATGTGACAGTGAGTCGTCCTCCCTGAGCAAAGATGGGAGAGATGGCTGACTTAAGTTTAATGGGACAGTCTTGGCGAGAGGCCAGAATGCACCGGTTCCTAAAGGAAGGCGAACTAGTTTTTCGCCAATTCTGCCGATGTGCTCTCTGATTTTGCCTTGGAAACGACTCTTTTGAAGGACCTGGAGGCGGAATTAAACTCCTTTTTAAGAGCGCTTGTGTATACATCCCGGGACGTTGATGCATCAGCCCAAGCCCGGTAGCACTCCTAGCACCAATAGCATCACACAAGAGTGCTACCGGGTGCACGGACTCAAGAGCGACCAAACCATGGCTGGGATCTGCCTCCGATGGACACTGCAGAAGATAATATAAGTCAAAAAAATAAAAAGAACGCATCCTATCCCAATCGGCTGACTTATAGTGCTAAACACGGTGGCAACGCAGTGGCACCACACTGCGGAGTAGACAATGGTCCGAAGGACCAAGAGTGGCGTCGACGGAGACCTGATATCCGTCCGGATGATGCCAAGGCAAAGTCATAAACAGATCTGTTGTAGCAAAGAATCTGTAGCCACTTGGATGGTCGATAAGTCGGCAATACCGTAATTGAACCCATAGAGGCACCGTAGACGCGTGGTTTGATGAAAAATAAGTTAGTATGATGATCAATAAAAATATTTACAACTCTACAAAAAAAAAACATTACATTACTTATACCTTTTATTAAATAGTTTATTATACAATATAATACAAATGTAAAAGCAAGCATACCAGCACTGTAAAATTTTCCATAGAATAAAATTATATAAATAAGCAATACAAAATTTCAAAATAAATGTATAATTTTCAACTTAATGACTATCTTCCTAATTTTTTATTTTTATTCTAGCATTGAACAGGCTAATTTCAGGGCTGTACTGTAACTGTACTACTCGTGCGGATAAACAATGGGATTAGAAATGGCGACTTGCCGAATCTGTACTGTATAATTAACAATTGACAATATTTATTTTTGGTAATTTAATATTTGTATTGAACATTTATGCCTCTCATTTATTACTTGAGCCTGAAATTAGAAGCACAAAATCTCTTATCGGAACGAATAAATGACGTTATTTTTTGTGGTTATTATCGATGGGTGGGAGTAAATACATCGTACGAGCGAGAGGTGAATACATGAGACGCCATTTATAATCCCATTCATTATCTGTGCAAGTAGTATAATATATGCTAGAATTATAACCTTATACTTTTAAAATGGAACAAATGTTAAATAAAAAGCAAAACATAATGTATAGATTATTTTGTCAGTCCATTTGTTGCTAGCTATGCCCTACATTAGCACCTTTGACTTAAAGCGTATTCACATATACAATGTACAAACTACAAACAGTACTTACGAACTAAAACTACTAAAGCTTTAGCTATAATGAACATCAACAATTTGGTCCTTCAATACAAAGTAAAGTAAGAAACAGCTTGTCTACGTTATTTATTTAAACTTATCATAGAATCCAATAGCTTATAAACATAAATATAGATAGATATCAAACTGATTGTGATTATTTCCATTCTGGGTAAAAGTATGTGAACTGTGTACTTAAAGAATAAGCAAAAATGTGCTAGAGATTAAACTCTTAAATTATAATATATCATTATCCCAAATGTTATAAAATCTCCAATATATTTAATAGCAATGTCAGCAAACTTTTATCTATATTATACTTTTCAACACTATACTTTAGAAAACAGAAAAGCTATAGCTATATACCCCACTAATCTAAGAAATACCTTTTGACATTTTACATTAATCATTACGCAATAAAGAGCAATGGCAGAAAAAATTATAGTGTCTAGAAATAAGTTATATATAAAATGAGTTTTATTATTATTCTATGATTTTTCAAATAAAAATGTATTTTAATTAAAGCCACAGAAAAAACAAACATTTTTGGGAATATCAAATGACTTAAATCATTTTACTTTATTCAAATGTTGCCATTTAGTATATTCATACTATTTTCATATACACTTTGTGAGACTACCAACACAACACACAAAATATTTTTATATTAAGTTATTATTAGTAATAACAGTACTATCAATAATAATAAAAATAAAAGTGATATGACTGAGAATAAGTCTCTAACAAAGAATTTCCTACAATAATGCATTATCTCAATCATAGTACTATGTAACGATTCCATTTAATGTTATGCCATTAATTTAGCTAAAATAAAATGTCACTGTTTTTTTACTGGCTTTACGGCTCTGGGTTATAGCCCTTCTGAGAATGTCACTATGATACAAAAGCCCTGGAGCCATGCCAGAAATATACATTTATAGTATGCAAATATATAATAGAGATACAATAATCTAAAAACTCTCAATTATGTATTATGTATTAAGCTAACATCAAACAACCACAGGAAGCATGACTTTTCCAAGTG